GTGTACTTGTACCTTATTGTGTATACTGGTGCCTTATGGTGTGTACTGGTGCCTTATAGTGTGTACTCGTACCTTATGGTGTGTACCGGTGCCTTATGGTGTGTACTGGTGCCTTATGGTGTGTACTGGTGCCTTATGGTGTGTACTGGTGCCTTATGGTGTGTACTGGTGCCTTATGGTGTGTACTGGTGCCTTATGGTGTGTACTGGTGCCTTATGGTGTGTACTGGTGCCGTATGGAGTGTACTGGTGCCTTATGGTGTGTACTGGTGCTTTATGGTGTGTACTGGTGCATTATTGTGTGTAATGGTGCCTTATTGTGTACTGGTGCCTTACGGTGTGTACTGGTGCCTTATAGTGTGTACTGGTGCCTTATGGTGTGTACTGGTGCCTTATGGTGTGTACTGGTGCCTTATGGTGTGTACTGGTGCCTTATGGTGTGTACTGGGTGCCTTATGGTGTGTACTGGTTCCTTATGGTGTGTACTGGTGCCTTATGGTGTGTACTGGTGCCTTATGGTGTGTACTGGTGCCTTATAGTGTGTACTTGTGCCTTATGTGTGTACTGGTACTGGTGCCTTATGGTGTGTACTGGTGCCTTATGGTGTGTACTGGTGCCTTATGGTGTGTACTGGTGCTGGTGCCTTATGGTGTAAACTGGTGCCTTATGGTGTGTACTGGTGCCTTATGGTGTGTACTGGTGCCTTATGGTGTGTACTGGTGCCTTATGGTGTGTACTGGTGCCTTATGGTGTGTACTGGTGCCTTATGGTGTGTACTGGTGCCTTATGGTGTGTACTCGTGCCTTATGGTGTGTACTGGTGCCTTATGGTGTGTACTGGTGCCTTATGGTGTGTACTGGTGCCTTATGTGTACTGTGTACTGGTGCCTTATGGTGTGTACTGGTGCCTTATATGTGTGTACTGGTGCCTTATGGTGTGTACTGGTGCCTTATGGTGTGTACTGGTGCCTTATGGTGTGTACTGGTGCCTTATGGTGTGTACTGGTGCCTTATGGTGTGTACTGGTGCCTTATGGTGTGTACTGGTGCCTTATGGTGTGTACTGGTGTATGATGTGTGTACTGGTGCCTTATGGTGTGTACTGGTGCCTTATGGTGTGTACTGGTGCCTTATGGTGTGTACTGGTGCCTTATGGTGTGTACTGGTGCCTTATGGTGTGTACTGGTGCCTGGTACTGGTGCCTTATGGTGTGTACTGGTGCCTTATGGTGTGTACTGGTGCCTTATGGTGTGTACTGGTGCCTTATGGTGTGTACTGGTGCCTTATGGTGTGTACTGGTGCCTTATGGTGTGTACTGGTGCCTTATGGTGTGTACTGGTGCCTTATGGTGTGTACTGGTGCCTTATGGTGTGTACTGGTGCCTTATGGTGTGTACTGGTGCCTTATGGTGTGTACTGGTGCCTTATGGTGTGTACTGGTGCCTTATGGTGTGTACTGGTGCCTTATGGTGTGTACTGGTGCCTTATGGTGTGTACTGGTGCCTTATGGTGTGTACTGGTGCCTTATGGTGTGTACTGGTGCCTTATGTGTGTGTACTGGTGCCTTATGGTGTGTACTGGTGCCTTATGGTGTGTACTGGTGCCTTATGGTGTGTACTGGTGCCTTATGGTGTGTACTGGTGCCTTATGGTGTGTACTGGTGCCTTATGGTGTGTACTGGTGCCTTATGGTGTGTACTGGTGCCTTATGGTGTGTACTGGTGCCTTATGGTGTGTACTGGTGCCTTATGGTGTGTACTGGTGTGGTGTGTACTGGTGCCTTATGGTGTGTACTGGTGCCTTATGGTGTGTACTGGTGCCTTATGGTGTGTACTGGTGCCTTATGGTGTGTACTGGTGCCTTATGGTGTGTACTGGTGCCTTATGTACTGGTGTGTACTGGTGCCTTATGGTGTGTACTGGTGCCTTATGGTGTGTACTGGTGCCTTATGGTGTGTACTGGTGCCTTATGGTGTGTACTGGTGCCTTATGGTGTGTACTGGTGCCTTATGGTGTGTACTGGTGCCTTATGGTGTGTACTGGTGCCTTATGGTGTGTACTGGTGCCTTATGGTGTGTACTGGTGCCTTATGTGTACTGTGTACTGTGTACTGGTGCCTTATGGTGTGTACTGGTGCCTTATGGTGTGTACTGGTGCCTTATGGTGTGTACTGGTGCCTTATGGTGTGTACTGGTGCCTTATGGTGTGTACTGGTGCCTTATGGTGTGTACTGGTGCCTTATGGTGTGTACTGGTGCCTTATGGTGTGTACTGGTGCCTTATGGTGTGTACTGGTGCCTTATGGTGTGTACTGGGTGTACCTTATGGTGTGTACTGGTGCCTTATGGTGTGTACTGGTGCCTTATGGTGTGTACTGGTGCCTTATGGTGTGTACTGGTGCCTTATGGTGTGTACTGGTGCCTTATGGTGTGTACTGGTGCCTTATGGTGTGTGTGCCTTATGGTGTGTACTGGTGCCTTATGGTGTGTACTGGTGCCTTATGGTGTGTACTGGTGCCTTATGGTGTGTACTGGTGCCTTATGGTGTGTACTGGTGCCTTATGGTGTGTACTGGTGCCTTATGGTGTGTACTGGTGCCTTATATGTGTGTGTACTGGTGCCTTATGGTGTGTACTGGTGCCTTATGGTGTGTACTGGTGCCTTATGGTGTGTACTGGTGCCTTATGGTGTGTACTGGTGCCTTATAGTGTGTACTGGTGCCTTATGGTGTGTACTGGTGCCTTATGTGTACTGGTGCCTTATGGTGTGTACTGGTGCCTTATGGTGTGTACTGGTGCCTTATGGTGTGTACTGGTGCCTTATGGTGTGTACTGGTGCCTTATGGTGTGTACTGGTGCCTTATGGTGTGTACTGGTGCCTTATGGTGTGTACTGGTGCCTTTATGTGGTGTGTGCCTTATGGTGTGTACTGGTGCCTTATGGTGTGTACTGGTGCCTTATGGTGTGTACTGGTGCCTTATGGTGTGTACTGGTGCCTTATGGTGTGTACTGGTGCCTTATGGTGTGTACTGGTGCCTTATGGTGTGTACTGGTGCCTTATGGTGTGTACTGGTGCCTTATGGTGTGTACTGGTGCCTTATGGTGTGTACTGGTGCCTTATGGTGTGTACTGGTGCCTTATGGTGTGTACTGGTGCCTTATGGTGTGTACTGGTGCCTTATGGTGTGTACTGGTGCCTTATGGTGTGTACTGGTGCCTTATGGTGTGTACTGGTGCCTTATGGTGTGTACTGGTGCCTTATGGTGTGTACTGGTGCCTTATGGTGTGTACTGGTGCCTTATGGTGTGTACTGGTGCCTTATGGTGTGTACTGGTGCCTTATGGTGTGTACTGGTGCCTTATGGTGTGTACTGGTGCCTTATGGTGTGGTGTTATGGTGTGTACTGGTGCCTTATGGTGTGTACTGGTGCCTTATGGTGTGTACTGGTGCCTTATGTACTGTGTACTGGTGCCTTATGGTGTGTACTGGTGCCTTATGGTGTGTACTGGTGCCTTATGGTGTGTACTGGTACCTTATTGTGTGTACTGGTGCATTATGGTGTGTACTGGTGCCTTATGGTGTGTACTGGTGCCTTATGGTGTGTACTGGTGCCTTATGGTGTGTACTGGTGCCTTATGGTGTGTACTGGTGCCTTATGTGTGTGTACTGGTGCCTTATGGTGTGTACTGGTGCCTTATGGTGTGTACTGGTGCCTTATGGTGTGTACTGGTGCCTTATGGTGTGTACTGGTGCCTTATGGTGTGTACTGGTGTGTACTGGTGCCTTATGGTGTGTACTGGTGCCTTATGGTGTGTACTGGTGCCTTATGGTGTGTACTGGTGCCTTATGGTGTGTACTGGTGCCTTATGGTGTGTACTGGTGCCTTATGTGTGTACTGGTGCCTTATGGTGTGTACTGGTGCCTTATGGTGTGTACTGGTGCCTTATGGTGTGTACTGGTGCCTTATGGTGTGTACTGGTGCCTTATGGTGTGTACTGGTGCCTTATGGTGTGTACTGGTGCCTTATGGTGTGTACTGGTGCCTTATGGTGTGTACTGGTGCCTTATGGTGTGTACTGGTGCCTTATGGTGTGTACTGGTGCCTTATGGTGTGTACTGGTGCCTTATGGTGTGTACTGGTGCCTTATGGTGTGTACTCGTACCTTATGGTGTGTACTGGTGCCTTATGGTGTGTACTGGTGCCTTATGGTGTGTACTGGTGCCTTATGGCGTGTGTTCTGGTGCCTTATGGTGTGTGTTCCGGTGCCTTATGGTGTGTACTGGTGCCTTATGGCGTGTACTGGTGCCTTATGGTGTGTACTGGTGCCTTATGGTGTGTACTGGTGCCTTATGGTGTGTACTGGTGCCTTATGGTGTGTACCGGTGCCTTATGGTGTGTACTGGTGCCTTATGGTGTGTACTGGTGCCTTATGGTGTGTACTGGTGCCTTATGGTGTGTACTGGTGCCTTATGGTGTGTACTGGTGCCTTATGGTGTGTACTGGTGCCTTATGGTGTGTACTGGTGCCTTATGGTGTGTACTGGTGCCTTATGGTGTGTACTGGTGCCTTATGGTGTGTTCTGGTGCCTTATGGTGTGTACTGGTGCCTTATGGTGTGTACTGGTGCCTTATGGTGGTGTGTACTGGTGCCTTATGGTGTGTACTGGTGCCTTATGGTGTGTACTGGTGCCTTATGGTGTGTGGACTGGTGCCTTATGGTGTGTACTGGTGCCTTATGGTGTGTACTGGTGCCTTATGGTGTGTACTGGTGCCTTATGGTGTGTACTGGTGCCTTATGGTGTGTACTGGTGCCTTATGGTGTGTACTGGTGCCTTATGGTATGTACTGGTGCCTTATGGTGTGTACTGGTGTCTTATGGTGTGTACTGGTGCCTTATGGTGTGTACTGGTGCCTTATCGTGATTTTTATATATATGCCGCTAATATTCAGTTTTCTAACTCATTAAATAAGTCACAAGGAACTGTGAACATAACTTTGCTCTTACTCTCACCTTCCTGGACGCCTCGCTGCTCCTCCTGCAGCTGGTGTATAGCAATCTGGTTAATAATGACGGTCGCTGTCAGGTCCAACTCCTCTGTGTGGCCCATGGTGGCCTCCGGGAAGGCGGCCGACCAGACCACCAGGACACAGAGGAGAGGCAGCAGACAGACAGACATGACTCTCACCACCACACTCACACTACACACTAACCAACACCCTGCATGACTGCTGGCTGGCTGGCTGGCCACCACGCACTAAGTACACCCGCGCTCACCGCCCACACTGATAGGTAGTGGGGCGTTGAATCACCAGGAAACTCTCCTTCAATATGGCCAGTTCTTATACATGCTTTTACAAAGAGGAGAAGTCCTGTGAGAATAATGAGCATAAAAGAATAAGAAAGAATGTAGAGATCTGTTAATAAGAAGGTTAAGCTATGAGAGTTAAGAGAACTGCGCCTCACAACCAGGGAGGTTATAACTAACTGAGAGGATTTGATCATAACATCAAATACTGAGTGTAATGTACAAGGTGAACAGGGACAGCTTGTTTTTAATGAGAGAAAGATTAATAGAACCTAAGTTGAGGATAGAAACACAAATTAATAGAAAAAGATAAGGACATACTCATACTCTGTATGTGTAGTCAACAAGTAGTATGCACTGGAAGAAGTTGCAGAAGCCACCTCTCTTCAAAATTTTTAAGACAAGATCCGACAAAGAATGTGAACGTGAGAATAGTTAAACTGTAATACAACAAGTACAACAAAGCCCGAGTAGGAGAGGTTTAGAGAGCTACGCTTCACTTACCTTAGCAACACGTCCAAAGACCAAGTCCATTCTATCCAGTGGCTGACCCATAAGACACATTCATCAGTTTTAACATTTTGTTCATTTAAAACAGAAGTTTTCTGAAATATAAATTAGTATATTATCAAATTGTGCATATTTAGGCATTTGTTAGGTTAGGTGTTTAGGTTCTGTTGGCGCTTATTTGTATTTGTATATAAGCAGGTAAAGCATTTACAGCGATGTGGTTCAAACAAAAGGCCTCAGTGAAGCACATGTTCTGGAAGTGTTCTGACGTCATCAGTCGTGAATTGTTGGAAAAACCGACACCATTTACCAACTCTCAAATTAACACATAGAAAATGAGACACAGTGGAAATTTCTGGCAGTAGAAAACGGGGGATGTCATTGCCACATCACTATGAGATTCACCAGCTATATTAATGGGAAATCTTCTTAATACCATAGTTTTTGGACTGTAAACATCTTAAAAACATTTCACTTGAATCAACTTAATTATCAGTACTAAAATAGAATAAATGTAAGCCTTCCATTCCCTTCTTGACATCTGGACAACATAGCAGAGGCATCAGTGGAAAGAGGGAGGGAGAGAGCAGTCACCATTAACATTATACCAGTCTTGCTGGGGCAAATCTAGCCCCAATAATTTCCCTTGGAACACAGTGTTATGTGAATAAAGTGCTCTCATTGTCAACACATGATATATGTCTGAGGTCGTGGCGACCCCAGACATCAAGTAGTATGGGGGGGGGGGTGCAGTTGCAGCCCGGCCGGCGACCAATCAGCGGAGCCGGTAGCGATCAACAGGTAGTTTGGCGGTTTGAGTCCGAACAGGTGTCTGGCTGCATACGTTTTGCGCTCTGGCAAACCTTGGAGATGTTGTTGTCGTTGTTGGACATTTCTTCCTTAGTAGTTTTATATATTTGTTGCGACGTAATTGTGGAGGGAAGAGCAGGCTCAATCTCTTGAAGGAGATTATCGTCACAACTCTCCCCCGAAGCCTGCGGTTCTGGAAGAAGTACGTCGTTATGTGGTGGAGTATTAGATGGAGTTGCTTCTACTTCATAATCTCTGGAGGGATCATGGGCTAAGATGTTGTCAGACTCTTGGTATAGCGTGTCTCCAGGTTGAATTTCTGCAGTTAGCAAGCCCATAGTAGAAGACGTTGAGATGAGAAGTGGGCGTGCTGCAGGAGGTGTAGGGTGGTGTGGTCCGTATTGATGGTGGGCCGAGCACTTTTCAGGTGTGGAGTGAAGTGCTGAAGCTTCAGGATGAGGAAGAGTAGCTCCTTGCCAATTGTTCCATAGTTCCTTGTAGCAGTAGTCGCTGACAGGTGTATTCTTCTCGCCTCGTTGCTGCATCACGACACCACCATCGTCGGTACCATTGGCGTCGACATGGAGGATGAAGGGCTTATCTGACGAGGTGAGAGTGGAATTAGAAGAGGGCAAAGGAGCACGATTATTATCCTGAAAGCATTTGGGAAGATCATTAAGGATTTTGGAATTAGAAAGCGCTGACTCCTTGTCAGTGCTTTCGGGAGGAGAAGCTGGGATGGTCTCACTGTGGATGTAGGGTTCTGTGAAGGTGGAATAGTTAGTCAGGACAGTGGGAGGAGTACCATTATATTGCTTCAGGAGGTTGACGTGGCACAGCTGGGTCTTCCGCCGCCTATCTGGAGTCTCTATCACGTAGTTGTTATTATTCCTGCACTCTTTGACGCGGTAGGGTCCTGAAAACCTGTTCTGTAAAGGTGAACCTGGGATAGGGAAATATGCAAGGATGAAGTCTCCCGGCTTGAATTTTCTTACTTTGCTGGTCTGGTCGTAATGAGTCTTCATTCTCACCTGGGCTTTCAATAGATTATTATGGGCAAAACGGTGGACTCTCTCTAGAATGTGTTGAAGGTTTTGAAGAAACTGGGGCACATTCTGATGCTCACTGAAGGTGGCATCTCTGAGAGAGTCTTTGAAAGCCTTAAGGGGAGTACGGCACTTACGGCCGTAGAGCATCTCATAAGGAGATACTCCTAGGGACTCAGTGGGGAGACTTCTGAAAATACACATTATAAGGTCAATCTGCTTATCCCAATCCTTCGAGGTTTCACTACAAAACTTTTTCAAGAGTGCTTTGATGGTCTGATGACTACGTTCAAGAGAACCCTGTGAAGCAGGATGATAGGGGCTGGACAATACCTGTTTGATGTTGAACTCCTCCAGTGTCTTTTTGAAGAGATCACTGGTGAAGTTGGTACCACAGTCGCTTTGAATCTCCCTGGGAAATCCGTATTGAGTGAAGATCTTCAATAGATGTTTTATAACCGTAGCAGCCGTGATGTTCTTCACTGGAACTGCTATGGGAAATCTGGTGGTAGGACACAGGATGGTTAGGATGTAGGCGTTACCTGAACTGGTCCGAGGTAAAGGACCAACACAGTCTATTATGAGTCTGTGGAAAGGTTCCGCAGGCACCTGTATGGGAATCAGTGGCGCTCTGGGAATGGAGATGTTCGGTTTGCCTGCCATCTGACATGTATGACACTGTTTTACGTACTGTTTGACGTTTTTTACCATACCTGGCCAGTAGTAGTCTTGACGAATTCCATGGTAAGTCTTGTTGAAGCTGTAGTGGGAGAATGCTCCGTGGGCCAGGTGTAGAATAGTGGGCCGCAGGCTGGTGGGAATCACAAGTTGTTCGATGTTGGCCCAATCGTCCTCCTCCTTCAGTTTACTGGGTCTATATCTGCGGTAGAGTAAGTCGTTCTCTAGGAAGAACCCAGGAATACTGTTGGGTTGAGTCTCAGCCTGGAAAAACAATGGTGTTAAAGTAAGATCTTCCCTCTGCAACTTACGGAACTCCAACTTGGTCAGATGCGGGGGGAGTTTCTGAGGATCTTGAGGGACAGCGGTAGCAGTAGAGTCAGCTGGCTGTGGACGTGCAGCTTGTGCACGGGTGGTCACGAGAACCGGAGGAGAAACTTCACCACTCTCTTGAACCTCTGCTGGAACATACTCTAGAATAGGGTTTATTGGCACAGAGTTACACACCTGGGGTTTGTCCATGACGATCAGGTTGGTCGGTTGCAGGTCTTCTGCCAAGTCGTTGCCTAGGAGAAGTTGCACTCCAGGCATGGGAAAAGGCTTTTCCCTGACGGCGACTTGGACTTCCCCGTTCACGTAGGGACAATCCAGGTGGACTCTGGCGAGAGGGTATGGAGTGGTAGCAGTGAGGTCAGTGATGAAGACAGTTTCTCCGGTGTAGGTGATGTTGGGCACAGCCGACTTCAAGATGATCGATTGTAGAGCCGCTGTGTCCCTCAAGATCTTCAATTTGAAACGTCCCTCCGGATTTGAACCGTTGGCAGAGACAGTTCCAGTATACAGGTGGTTACTGAAAAGAGAAAGATCATTAACATTAACACCAACATTCATCACAGGCTTACCGGACTTAGGAGGAGTTGGTTTGGGTTTTTGTTGGTCAGTGATTCCCTTGTATTGAGACTTACCACACTTGTCTATGGTATGTCCATAGAGTCTACAATACTTGCAGTACAGTTGTGAACCAGCTTGATCGGGGCTCACCTTCTCGTAACTGTACCACGACTTCTTACTGGAGGATGGTTCGGGTGTCAGCCGGTGGATGAGGCTGTAAGTGTCAGCCGACTTAACACACTTCAGGTAGTCGGTTTCTTCTTTATCTGCTAAGTAGAGGCGGACAGGAGGCGGCACACGTCTCAAGAATTCTTCAACAAGCATCAGGTTGACGAGTTCTGTAAAAGTAGAGACATGTGCTGCTTCCAGCCATTTCATGAAATACCTCCGTTTCGTGTTAGCAAACTCGAGGAAGGTAGTGGTACTTGCCTTCAGGTGGTCACGGAATTTCCTTCTATAACTTTCGGTGGAAAGTAGGTAGGCGTCCAACACTGCTTGTTTCAGAGTGTGGTAGTCATTCTCAGACGCCAGAGTACTGAGTGTGACTGCAGCTCTACCTGTAAGATGGACTCTGAGAAGTGTGGCCCATTGGTCGACAGGCCAACTGAGTTGATTAGCAAGGGTTTCAAAGGTGGTGAAAAACACATCAACTTCTGCTTCTACAAAGGATAGCATTAACTTACTTGCATGTGATATATTAAAACTGACGGGAAGATTGGCAGTAGCTTGCTGGCGTTGAGCGAGGTGGGAAGTTTCCAACGTGTATTCTCGTTGACGACACTCAAGAGCCAGAGTCGCTTGTTGTTTGTCATGTTCACGTTGTATCTCCAACTCACGTTGTTTAGTTTCAAGCTGTAAGCGTTCCCGCTCCTGGAGCATTGCAAACTCACGTTCCTTGAGGGTGATTTCTCGTTCTTGTTCTTCCCTTCGTATGGCAGCTGCTTCTCTTTGCTGCTCACGTTCAATCTTGGCCAGCTCTAGTTTGAG